TTATATGTATAATTATTTTGGGGGGAGATAGGGTCTCACTCTGTTGCCCACACTGGTCTTAAACTCCTGGGCTCAATTAATCCTCCTACCTCAGCCTCCTGAGTAGCTGAGACTACAAACATATGCCACTATACCCGGCCCTTATAGTTGATTTTTTTTTTTTTTTTAGTGGTACTGGGGATAGAACTCAGGTCCTTCCCAGGGAGCTACTTCCCTAGCCCTTTTTTATTCTGAGACAGGGTCTTGCAAAGTCACTAATTTGCCAGGCTGCGCTTGAACTTGTGGTCCTGCCTCAGCCTCCCAGAGTGTTGGGATTTCAGGGATATGCCACCATACCCAGCTAGTTGGTAATTTTTACATTAAATTTTTCCTTGTTCACATCACCATTTGGTTTTGCCTTCCTGACTGGACCCAGACTTAATCCATTACCAACAATTATCGTAGTGTTTCAGCATGAAATAAAATAGATTTCTGAAAGTCCGTACTGTCACTGAGCAGATATTTCAGATGGCAGGCCATCTGCAGGAAAGGCATCAGTCTGCATTGCAGATATGTTCTTTTAAGCCATTTTTTTGGTGGAGGGGGTTGAGACAAGACCTTACAGTGCAGTTCAGGCTGGCCTGGAACTCAGTCTCATGCTGGGATTACGGGTGTGAGGCACCACACACACCTGCTTTATTGTTTTTGTTTTTGCTTTTTGGTACTGGGGATCGAACTCGGGACCTTGCGCTTGTGAGGCCGGTGGCGGAACCACTGAGCTAAATCCCTGGCCCTAACACCTGCTTTAACATGAGGAGAGATAATATTTATTGATGAACTTGTTATGAAGGAATGGATGGCACAGTGGAAACCTTCAGGAGTCCAAGGCCAGGAACTCCGCGATTCATGATTTCATCCCGCAGCATCAGGGAGGAGGCGCTTCTCCCACGTGTCCTCAAATTGCAGGCACCGACCTGGCCGAAGCCCCTGGAAACCTGGCTCTCCTGGCAAGGGGAACTTGACCGCCGAGGGCCTCGACCACGTGTTCCTAGCCCCGAGCGCGTCTTGGTGTGATGGACGCGAAGCCCTGTCGGAGTGAACCCTGGCCACGAGCCCCAGGCTCCCCGAAGGCACCCTCAAGGCCGGCGCTGGATAGCACCTTGTTGAAGCGTGGAGCCACGGAAACCGTCTTCGCCTCGCC